AGATGACTGTGGTAGTCCATGGACTCTTCTTTCCTCCCATACGTACCTCTGCCCCGAATCCATTTTCTACATAGTGACCAGGGGGATTCTTTTAATCTGATACCATGCCCAAATTATCCTTGCTCAAAGCTTTCCACATCCAGAGGAATAGAATCCACAGTCCTCTTCAGGGCTTCTGAGGCCCTGTGTGATCTGACCCTGTCTTCTGAGACCTCTTGTCTCACCTACTCTGTCCTAGTGACACCAGTCTCCCTGTTATTTTTCTATTTGCATTGACACTGCTATTCCCTCATTCTAACTTTCTGGTTCCAACATCACCCCTTCAAAGAGGGCTTCCTATTCTAACCACCCCAACTACAATAGACCCCATCTTTTTAATAGGGGTCCCTGTCTGCCCCTTCATTCTGCTTTTTCTTCAGAACATTTATGACTGTCTGAGATCATATATCTGTCTCTAAATCTAAATCTAGTTGTTGGTTTATTTGTATGTCACCTTCCTCCCACACTAAATGGTGAGCTCCAGGCAGGCAGAAGACACCACTCATCTCCATATCCACAGCACCCCAAATAGTGGCAGGCACATAATGGTGCTCAATAAATACTTGGGAAAGAGTAAAAGGCAGGGAGTGAGTAAGATTGATGTGAAAAAATTTAGCTTCTTCTAACTCCTAGAAGAACTGACTAGGGCCCAGCAGCCCAGGTCACCTAATAACTGTTATAACCAGTTCGATGGTATCAGGCAATTCAGTTGGTGCTTCCTGTTTGAGATTGGGTTGATTTTTCACTCCTTCATCCTCCTTTATATTGACAGAGGACTGCAGATCAAGGTGGCCAAGAGACTCCTGTGAGCAGAGGCAGGGAATGTTCAAGCTGGGATGGTGCTCCTGTGTTGTCTGTCTATAATAGCAGCCCCCCTCTTTATTCATTCATGTGGCAACTTTTAAAAAATCTTTCCTCTATCAGTAGGTTTTGTCTAATTCTTGCTTCTTCCTAAGTCCTAGGTTACATGTCCATTACTCATTAACAGCTTCCTGATGCCCAGACTAGGTTAGGTTACCCCGTTCCGAGCTCCTATATTTGCCTCTCTTAGCATTCATCACATATCTGTAGACATTTGCCATGAGCTACCTTCCTTGTCAGCCTGAAGGCTTCAAAAGTTCCCCTGTCTGCTGTGTTCATCATTGTACCCAGGGGGAGTGACAAAGTAACAGGGGCATAGTGAGTGTTCAATAAGTGTTTGTTGAACTAACAACTGAATTTTATGAGAAGCAACAAAAATTAACATAAATTATAAAATAATTTGATTGATTGCTTACTTATCACTTCCCTGATACCTCATCCAAATAGTGCCATGCTTATTTGGACATTTATTTATTTTGTATTCAGCAGGAGGTGGTAGAATAGGAGATTGATGGGACATTTGCTCCTAGAAATGATTTAATTATTACAAAAATTTTCCAGAACCACCAATCTATAGAAAACACCCAAGGAAGACCATGAATCAGATTTTGTTAAGGTTTTTGGTGTACAGATCATGATCTTTCCTGGAAGCGATTTTATCAGGAAATTTTGAAATAAATGTTATCCTTAATCTTTCTTGAATAGTAACCTTTCTATTTTCCTATCAAGGAAGATAAAGCACAACCAAATGTATAGTGGGAAAAATTAGGACAAGCTTTCATGTTTTAAATATTCTTGAACTTCTCAATTTCTCTTCTGACAGAGTAGAAATAATTATGTTCTCAGGATTGGGATTAAATAATTTGAACAATTGGGCATTTAATATGTGAAGTTCATAAGCATGATTGTATCACAAAGAAAATGAACAGACTTGTATAACTTTTTTATAACTGACATAATTTTCTGACTCGTATCTTTAAACCCAACGCTATTAACCCGCCAAAGTAGAAATAACATTCTGGTAGGGCTACATATCTATACCTTGACCAATCAGATGCATTTATGGAAAGACTGGGGCTACAGGTTTATGGGAAGGCATCAAACAAAGAAAAGTTGAGCTGTGTGCCCTGGAATAAAACCTTCCCTCTGATGCCTTAACACTGTATTCTAATGATGGCCCAGCCAGCTTAAGACAGAAGCACCTGTGTGTCTTACCAGTGCCTCGGCAGTCTTGCTAGGAATGCCACAGCTTGTGAAACCACAGCCCAGATAATTGGGAACAGAAAGGAGGGAGGGTGATCTACATTTTTATGTTGGGAGGGATTAAGATCATCGGAGCTTCAGGGGGTGTTTTATGCAGTGTTTGTAAGTTTATGACATGTACGAAGAGGTAGATGTTTGTCATTTGGAAGACAGTTATCTATATAAATGATATTTAAGCCCCATTCTTTGTTTTCAGAGTGAAACTTCTGGACCAAGATCAGACAGTGAGCAGAGCACTGGACTGCGGACTGTCCTGGAAGTCTGGCACTCGGGCTCACCATTCCTTAGCACTCCTCTACTTTTTTACCTTTGTGTATGCCAGCAGCCAGAAATGGGGAAAGGGAAGGAAATCTAAAACCATCTGTTTGACTTCAAAAACATGTAAATTCAAGTCACAAGACCAACTGCTGCTATAACAGATTATCACAAACCTAAATAACACAAATTTATTGTCTTACACTTATGGGGATCAGAACTCCAAAAATGGGTTTCATAGGGCTAAATTCAGCATGTTGGTGCAGCTGCTTTCTAGAAGGTGTGGGAGATAATTCATCTCCTTGCCTTTTGCAGCTTTTAGAGGCTGTCTGAATTCCTTGACTTGTGGCCACTTCACTCTGACCTCTGCTTCCATTGTCACATCTCTGGCTCTCCCATCTCCCTCTTTCACTCCTAAGGACCCTTGTGATTAGATTGGACTCACCTGGATAATGAAGGCTACTCTCCCATCTCAACGTCCTTCTTACCTTCATCACATTTGCAAGTCCCTTTTGTCATGTAAGATAAAAAATTAACAGGTTCCAGAGATGAGAACATGGACATCTTTAGGGGCTCATTAGTCCACCAACCAGAGAAGGCAATGGGAATTACCTGAGTCTGATTTTGTCCTTTCCTTTCTTTTTGTTCTCATGACTACCACAGTCTGCCTGGTGTTGCCAAGCCTGAGCTCTAGTTATGTAGGATTCCCCTTACAAATGCAGGTTCCGCTGAAGCTTCAGACCTCCACCCCCAACCACCGCAAACATGCACACATCCAAAACCTCACTTCCTCTCCAGGCATTGGCCCAGGACAACATCTATATTATTACGATTCTCACCATTGCTGCTTATTAAATATCTCACTTCTGGGCACATGTTGGAAGTACAATTGGTGGCTCTTTTGTGGGTGGAAATGTTCATGCAATTAGTTCTCGTCAGTGATTTCTAAATGACTGAGCATTGATGGCATGAAGATCTTCTTGGACCTTCTCTTCTCCCTCTGTTACATTGATCAGCAGCATTCAAGATGGGTAGACTTGCAGTTGACATGCAGAATATACTGGAAGTGAAGTTTGTTGTAGTCACTGATATATGGGGGTTGTTTTTTACAACAGCATTTAAACTAACTTATTCTGATTAATGCCCTTAGGAAAGGTTAAAAGGCAGGAAACTAGAAGCATAAACAACACAAACTTCTGCTAATTGGTCTTCTCCGTTCTCCTGTCTCCTTGTGAAGTGTGTATGATAATACACCTAAATACATCATTCATCACATGTAGTTGACTCTGTCTCTTCTTCATCTGTGGAAATGAGAAAAGATATGCAGATGCAATGAGTAGGAATGTCGGAGAAGAGTAGAGGGTCGTGCTATGCGCATTTAGCAGTCATCACTCTCTTTATTTCTTGTAAACTCTCAAACTAGAAATAAGCTTATTTTAGGGCAAACACAGAGTAGAAGAGAATTTGATAGAAATCACACTAGGAAGAGAAGTTTGTAGAGAAATAAACTTTGAAGGGAGGCCATGCCAGCTGACCACAGCCCAGGCTGTCTACATATTGCAGGCACTTATACCTCGAGGTGCCTTGTTTTTGCCCTCCTTGGATGCCCTTATTTATTTATTTATTTATTTTTTAGATGGAGTTTCATTCTTGTTGCCCACGCTGGAGTGCAATGGCACCATCTTGGCTCACTGCAACCTCCACCCCCTGGGTTCAAGTGATACTCCTGCCTCAGCCTCCCAAGTAGCTGGAATTACAGGCATGCGCCACCACACCCGGCTAAATTTTTGTGTTTTTAGAAGAGACGGGGTTTCTCCATTTTGGTCAGGCTGGTCTCAAACTCCCAACCTCAGGCGATCCACCCGCCTCAGCCTCCCAAATTGCTGTGATTGCAGGCGTGAGCCACTGTGCCCAACTGAATGCCCTTTTTACCCTGCTTTTCTCCCTCTCAACCCTGCTAGGCCCCTTGAGTTAGGCCAATAATTGGGATTAAGGTATAGCTCCCACCAGCTAGAGATGGAACCTCCAGCCCAAGCCAGGGGCACAGCAGGAGTGTCAATTACCTGCAGATTAAAACTGGACCTTAAATGCATGTTTCACAGAAATGTTATTGTATCCTGTGCTACACATTACTAGAGTTTCTGTATATACCACCCTAACAGAGCATCTAGTTCTTCAGCTGGGTTGTCAGTGACTTGGCCTCCTGTGGGCCAGCCTAAGAATCCAGCCCCCAATGAAGAGCATTGTTTCTATGGAAACCTTCAATTTGTGACCCAAATATCCAGGTTAAGGTTTTCCTATTTTATCTGACTGAATGTGTGAGTCACACAATCTAACTGGATGTGTGAGTCAGTGGGGTTTCCCAATGTTGAATTAAAAGTTAGGGTTCTCTTTTAAATATGTGTATTTTTTCATTCAGATAACCCATTTATGTCACCAGTAATAATGGAGGACCTTTATTCCAAAATGCCTGTGTTTAGGTAGAAACTTCTATGATGGCAGGGTTAGCTAAGACCAAAATGTACATCTTTCTTCAGCAAGTAGTTCATTTGCTTTTCCTTTTATTTCTTAAAACTCTGCAGGGCGAGCCCTGCTGAGACTTACTGACAAAAAGCTCGAGCGAATGGGGATTTCCCAGGAGAACCTCCGGCAGCACATCTTACAACAGGTGCTCCAGCTGAAGGTGCGAGAAGAAGTCAGAAATCTACAGTTACTCACACAAGGTACCCTGTTGCTTCCTGATGGGTGGATGGAAGGGGAGATGGGAAGAATACCTTACTAATATGACAGACAGAAGCCAGGGAGAATTTGTCATTGTTTCTTCACAGAATTTTCTTCATAGAGAAAAGTATACAGATTTAAAAGTTATTTCCCTCCAAAAACTTTTTCATAGCTCACTAGAGAGAAGGATTTACAAATAAGTAATGGATGAGCAAACAGAATTATCTGAGCTAACTTCGAGGCCATCACATACAGCTGTATGGATTGTATACTGCACAACCCCAAAGACTACCAGTTACATAGATCAGGGTACAACTGCACTCACTAGGGTTGTATAGTGTACAGCCTGCATGACTGTACAGTCCAGCTCTTGCTATCTTTACCTGACTTTGAAATGTGAGGGGGCTTTAGAGTTTAAGTGATTCTGTAGTTACTATGACCAGTGATGTAAGTACAATTTTTGTTGTACTTTTATTTTGCTTTTCACTGGTTAGTGGGAGCAAAACATTTTAGATATGTATAAATATACATGAATGTATTATACACATACACTTTAGAGACTGTGAGAACCTCATTTAACTTCTTGAAAGTAGAATAATTTTTAAAATAAGACCATAGTGAATCTTAGACTGGACTGTTAAGAGTATGTAATTCTTAACAGGAATTATAAATAACTTCAATATTAAGAGAGCACTTAAGATCCCGATAACTGTGGAAGTGACGAAATAAAGCCAGATTTTGAAGAAAGCTCTAAGTTACTCTATATGTAACTTCAGTGTCTACATAAGATTTGGTTGCTATCAACCTTCATTGGCTATAACCTTTATTTGTTTTATTTTAGTGTCCATTGTACATTATTTTAAAAGAAAGGATGATAAAATACATATTTTTGAGAGCCTTGAGTATTTGTCATTCTGCAGGATATTGTAATTATGTGCATACTGGTACTGGAGAAATCTGGGTCAGCCAAGTTTCATGTTATTGCATTTAGATTAACCTAATAATAGCCCATTGCCTAGAGGAAATAAAGTGTTCTCTGAAAGATGACTATTTTAGAAGGATAAATATAGACCTCAAGTGATATTAAAATAGTATTGTTTATTTTATATGCATTATTTGCATTTTGTCCCCAGAGACTTCCAATGGTGAATTTATAGGTACTGGTATACTGAATGATTTAAATTTGAATGTGAAATACTGACATACTTTTTAAGTTTCTTTTAAGAAGTAGATAGAAATATGAAAATTATGATAAGAAAGTCTATCACAGTGCTGTTTGGAAAACAGAAAATTTAGACACAAATTAGAGGTCCAGCAATATGAAAAGAATCAAGTAATTCTGCTTAAATAAAGCAGTTATTAAAATTACATCTTCAAAGAATATCAGTACTTAAGAAGTCATACAAGGTGGGGGAAACGCCATGTGTAAAATTGTGTGTATAATATAAGCCGAATTTTGTAAAAACCATATATTCTTATATGTACAAAGAAAAGGACTGCAAGTGAATATGCCAACCATTTTAATAGTTCTCTCTGAATTGTGGGATAAGTGGGTGATTTTAATTCTTATTTTTTCTATATTTCCCAAATCTTCTGCAAATTCATATTATAATTATAATCAGAAAATACAAGTATGCATATTTTTTAAGCTTCAACCACAAGCATAGTTCCTCCCAGGTTCTGTTTAGTGTCTGTGGTTTTCACAGCTCATTTTTTCCCTCTAGTGACAATCTGTAGGATGAGACTTAAACTCACGTGTGATGCATTGTGTATGCCTTTGACTCTTCCTCTACTAGTGTCAGCCTGCGATGTGTTTGCTTTGGAGAATCATTTCTACAGCTCTCGTTGCCCTAGATGCATAATAGATAAGATTTTTCCTAAGATAGTACTTAGGTCTATTAAGCTAAATATACATTTGTGTTCTGGGAAGATAATGCTCAGTTCAGCCTTTTCAATTCAGTTATCGTCACTTTCTTTAGCTATGAAAAGCTGTACATTTTTCATTCTTTCATTCAGTTCCCTTTGGAAGGCAGCATTGTTCTCTAGCTCTTGAATATTTTGTCTGTGCTGATATTACGCTTTTTATGGCTTGTTTTTCACATATTTTGTTTTCAGTTTTGGTTTTGGTTTATTCGAGACGAGGTCTCACTCTCTTGCCCAGGCTGGAGTACAGTGGCGCAATCTTGGCTCACTGCAATCTCCGCCTCCCAAGTTCAAGTGATTCTCATGCCTCAGCCTCCCAGGTAGCTGGGATTACAAGCGTGCGCCACCACGACCAGCTAATTTTTTGTATTTTTAGTAGAGATGAGGTTTTGCCATGTTGGCCGAGTTTGTCTGAAACTCCAGGACTGAAGTGATCTGCATACTTCAGCCTCGCAAACTGCTGGGATTACAGGAATGAACCAGTTCTTCACATGTTAATGCTCAGACCATGTCACACATCCTCCAGAAAATCCATAACCTTATTACAGTAATAGTTTCTTTAAAAAAAAAAAAAGGAAAGAAAATTGATAAGTTGTTTTTATGTTTTATGACTGATAATAGACATTCTAAAGACCGGTTTGATTTAAAATATTTTGGGTCTAGTTTTGCTATAATAAAAATATTAGAATTTAATTCCACTCAAGTGAGCTGATTAATATTATATATATATAATATAAAAATATAATATAATATAATATAATATAATATAATATAATATAATATAATATAATATAATATAGAAATTCACCATAGGGGTAATAGATGATTCAAGAATGAATGTTTGATTCTTCATCTCTGTAAATATTATTTATCAGAAACAATATGCTGAATAAATACAAAGATTTTGGAATGTTTTTGGAAATCCCTGGACTTTTAATCATAGTTCTAATCCATACTGATGGAATATCCTTCCATGGTTCACGTGGAGCTGTCACTCTGGTATAATGCATTTAATTTTTTGTTGTTGATGATCATCTAACATGTTCAATCTGCAGTAAAAAAATACCATAACCTAGGTAGCTTACACACCATCAAAAATTTCTCTTTCACAATTCAGGAGGCTGAGAAGTCCAAGACCAGGGCACCAGCATATTCAGTGTCTGATGAGGGCCCACTTCCTCTCAAATGGCCTTCTAATCATTGTAATGTCACCTCACAGAAGTGGGGCGGGATTTCTGTGGGGCCACTTTTACAAGAGCACCAATCCCATACATGAGGGCTGAACCCTCATGACCTGATCACCACCCAAGGGCCCCACCTCCCAATACCATCACCTTGGGGGTTAGGATTTCAATACATAAATTTTGAGGGGACATAACATTTAGACCATTGTATTGATATCTAACAAATATTTACTAACCAACACATTTTAAAAAGAGTTATCACTTTCAAAGTAGTCCATTTTTGAGGAAAATGGAATTTGTTTTTAAAATGATTGCATTGCTTTGAAGTTTTCTTCTTGCCTTTGGATGCAATTTCAAAATATAGGTTCTTAGAATCAACTTAACTGTCCATCTTTAGGGGAACAGCAAATTAAATTATGGTACATCCGGGCACTGGTGTACTCTCAGCTGTGAAAAAAGTGAGGTGCAGAACAATGTATGCTATATTTGAACATAGCATAGTATACTATATTTGAACAATGCGTATAGTATGCTACATTTGCCAAAGAGGGGGAAATAAAAATGTATATCCATATGTGCTTTGTTTTAAGGAAATGCTGAATGATGTACAAGAAGCTAATACAAGCTGCACCTGTGGGAGAGGGAAGATGGTGGATGGAGAGAGGGTGTGTGCCTTTTATGTCACTTTGTTTTATGAAATGTATGGGTACATTAACTATTTAGAGAAATAAAATTTTTAAAAGAAACAAGGAGAAAGGGTGAATTTTGGCATCAGACAGGCCCAAATTTTAAATCCTGTACCTAACATATTTTGCTGTGCTCACCAACTAGGGATGCTGTAAGAATTAAAAGAGCTAAGATATGTAAATCACTAGGTACAGTATAATAGTAAATACAGAATATTGTTGGCTATCAGTAATAGAAGCCACACAATTAAATCAACCTCATACATTTATAATAATCCTGATTTTTATAACATCTTTATTGAGATGTAATTCACATAACATACAACTTACCACTTAAAGCATAAAATTCAGTGGTGTTTAAGAGTGTAAAGAGAGTGCAATCATCACAAATAATCAATTTTAAAACATTTTCATTAACCCAAGAAGAAACTCTGTAATCTTTAACAGTCATTCCCCGTTTCTTCCCAACACTGACAGCACCAGCTCCTGGAATCCGGACTGCTTAACAACAGGGATATGTTCTGAGAAGTACATTGTTCCTGATTCCATCATTATGTGAACATGATAGACTATGTTTAGACAAACCGAAACGGTATAGCCTACTACACACCTAGGCTAATTGGTATAGCCTGTTGCTCTTAGGCTACCACAGGTTACTGTACTGAATACTGTAGGCAGTTGTAACACAACAGTATCTGTGTATCTAGACATATCTAAACATAGAAAAGGTACCATAAAACTTGAATATAATAATCTTAAAGGACTACCATTGTATATGTGGTTTGTCATTGACTGAAACATGTGGTGTGTGACTATAATCTACTCTCTATTCATCTGCCTATTTGGGGCATTTTCTATAAATTGAATCATATAATATGTGTCTTCTGTGATTGGCTAATTTCATTAGGATAATAATTTTTTTCTTGTTATTACATGTTTTTTTTTTAATTTTTTATTGCATTTTAGGTTTTGGGGTACATGAGCAGAACATGCAAGACAGTTGCGTAGGTACACACAGGGCAGTGTGTTTTGCTTCCTTTCTCCCCTTCACCCAGATTTCGCATTTCTCCCCAGGCTATCCCACCCCACCTCCCCTCCCACTGGCCCTCCCCTTTTCCCCCCAATAGACCCCAGTGTTTAGTACTCCCCTCCCTGTGTCCATGTGTTCTCATTCTTCATCACCCGCCTATGAGTGAAAATATGCGGTGT